AAAATGTGCCAAGGGGATACCTGCCACAGTGTATCTGCAAGAATATTTATAACTGTGGTTTTGTGCTTTATAGTTTGTGGTATAAATAATGTTCACCCATAGTACTGTCTCAAAGTATAACCCTAGAGCTCCCACAGGTCACTATGGATTTCCAAGGTGAGAGGAGAGGTGATTCACTCTATACGGCTGACTCTACCTTGCACATATGAATGTGCCCAGAATTAAACTGGCTCAGGTTCCCTACACTCCGTCTCTTTAGATCAACTTTCAAAGTCATGGTTAACTAACTTGATGGCAGGAGTCCTTTCACAAAGAACACATATATAAAATCATCATATTGTACACTTTAAGTATCTTACAATTTAGTTTGTCAAGTATACCTCCATGAAAATGAAAAAATGTAACAAACAAAAAACCAAAGTCAGTTCTAAGGATATAAAATGGCACCATAGTAGGGCTGTAAGGAACAAGTTTGGTTCAAGATATCAGCACCATTCTACTTTGAAAGGCCAGTTCACTAGACTTTTTTTCCCTCCATGATAGGTGTATTTTCTTAGAATCACTTAGCTCTAATTCAGTAGGTTATAAAAACTTTGAATCTTATTGAACTTCTCAAACTTCTTATGCAAATCTATAACCTCTTCTTGAGACACTTTTAAACCCCAAATTTTAATGGGCTTTGTGCATACACACACATGCTTCACCGGACTTCTCCACACTAATTTATGCAAAGGAAAAAAAAAAGATTTACAGGAAATGCATACAAAATTTCAGACAAACGCTCTGATTTTCAAGAAATTATAATCTGAAAATATTAAAACAAGTACTAGGAAGTCAGTGTCAATGAAACTCTTCAGCACCGTGACAAAGAGAATTTTTACTTCAATTTAACTAGTCGCTCAATGGAGAAGGAAATGGCAACCCACTCCAGGATTCTTGCCTTGAGAATATCATGGATGGAGAAGCCTGGTGGGCTACAGTGCAGGGGGGCGAAGAGTCAGACATGAATGAGCAACTTGGCACCCAACTAGTTGCTCGAACTCAGTTAATATAGACTAAGATGGTTAGATCATTGCCGACTCAATGGACATGAATTTGAACAAACTCTGGGAAACAGTGGAGAGACAGGAGCCTTCTGTGCTGCAGTCCATGGGGTTGCAAAGAGCTGGACACGACTTAGTGACTGAACAACAACAAGAATCCATTAGCCCTTGAAGGGGCTTTATAAAAGTACCAAAACACTAAATACACAAGTCAACCCAAATCCCAAATTATCTTTGACATTTGTTACAATTTGATCTATTTCCCCTACTATTATCTTGAGTACAGTAAGTCCCCCACATATAAATGAGTTCTGTTCCAAGAACACCTTGGGAAGTCTAATTTTTTTCATTAAGTCCAACATTTTTAGCCTATGTACCCAACTGACACCACTGGCTATCTAGTACTGCACTGTAACAGGTTTAGAACACTTGGCACACAAATAATACATAAAAACAAATAAAAAATAAAGAAAACATTTTTAATCTTACAGTATCTTGAAACGTACAGTAGAACAGTACAACAACTGGCGTGTAGGGCTGGCATCAAGTGAACAGGTAAGAAGGGGAACTGACTGGAGGAGAGAGAGGAAGTGGGAGATGGTAGAGCTGAAGGACTGTCAGCAATAAGAGATGGTGGGCAAGCTGAAATTTCATTCATGCCTAAAGTGGATGGCAAAAATTCTGGTTCCTTGCTGGATTCAATTCTATCTTCTTGAAAAAATGATCCAGGGATGTCTGGGTAGTAGCTCTTTTTTCTCATCATAGATGACATGGTGGCACTGGATTTCACTCTGAACGGCTGCTACAACCTTCATAGGCCATTCTGTGTTTGGGTCCTGTGCCTCAAAAGCTAACCGTGCTTTCTCAAATAAAGAAAATCCCCGTGCCATTTCCTGTGTTGTAAATCTCTTGTTCATTAGTTACTTCTTCTTTCTCTTGTCCCTCTTTGTCCTTTCCCTGGGCTCCAATTCCATCAGGTTTTCATCAGTAAGCGCCCTGTGCTGCGCAGCAAGGAGTTCAATGAAGCTGCCCTCTTGTAGATCGATTAATAGCTTGAAATAAATATACTGTACTAATGTACTCTATACATTACTGTACACGAAAGCATACAAAATCGCAACCACTTGTAGAGGATGCATGCATGTGACAATGTACGCCAGACGAGTGAACTAACTTACATGTTCAGACATGAGGGCGCACATTCTTAAGTTTGCAACTTGAAGGTTCATATGTAGGGACTTACTGTAGTTAGTATTTGACAATTCTGCCTGGAGTCCTTAATAACTGAAGTCCTTCTCAGTGTTATGACTTTTTTTTTTTCTGGAGTAAACATGGACGTACTTAGGGAACCTAATTTATTTCAAAAAGGTATTAAATGCAATAAATGAGTATACTGTGTTAAGTGACTTCATTTTTAAAAAATCACATTACATATATTTTATACATCTCTAAGTATAAACTCATTATATTTTATAATATTCTAAGTATACTTTAAAGATTCTCGCTTCTTTTTGAGATTTCCCCTTCCTGACTATATTTCTGACTAATTGTTTCCAACCTATTTTAATTAAATAAACGGCAGCATCAAACCAGATCAAATCAAAGCAAACCAAACAAAATGCAATATAGTATATCACCTTGACTTAAACTAGGAAAAGCTTTATAAGGATTAATTGTTCTCTGCTAAGGTTTAACAGTAGGATTATGCAAGAGGAAATAAAATTTAAAAAATCAACGAATAGTACTGCTAGGATAACTCCATTTTTTTTAAAACAAAGATACTTAAAATATTCATAAATCTAAAGCAATACAGGAAAAATATAATTATATAGCTTAAAAGTGTTTTAGTTAAATTGTGTTATAAATCTGTGAAATTTGAATAGTCTTTTATTCCAATGAGAATATTAATTTCTATACTTTAAAAACATGCAGTAGTGTGTTCACAATTTTATAATAAGACTTCTCCAAAACCAAAATAAAAATAAGGACATTTTTGGAGGTATAGTTATCTTAGAAAGTTCTTCTTCTTATTGTTTAATTAACACTACAGTCAATGAATAGAAATATAGCTTGTGTATTTTGCTGGGGAAATAGTCATTAAAAGCTCTTTTAGGAGTGTCTTGCTTAACAATCCTGCCAGCATCACCTCTGTCAATTAATGCTCAGTAAGCACTCAGAATTCTAAAATCCAGACACAAGGCAGGACCTGTGTGACTGATACAGCCTCCAGACAAGTGTCATCACTTCACATGTACCTGGAACCACTTCAAAAACATTTCTTTAATGGGATACAAAGTTGTAATATAAAAAATAAATAACTGAAGGTAGGGTTGGATTATGTGCATTCCATTCTCAGAAACATGCAGATAACCCAAAGCTCTATTTTTTTTTCCCTCTAGGAAATAAATAGTAACCAAGAATTGCATAACATGTTCATTTTAAGAGTTATAAAGCCCCGCAGAAGCATCCACAAATTGAATAAGGAAAATGGAACTAACAGCTTCAGGATGGTTTCTGCCTCCAGGTGCTCTTTGGGAGGACTTTCTAACTGAACATCTAGTGAGGGGTACAGCAGGGGCCCCCTGGGGATGGGGAGCATTCACATGTGCCTTGCTCTGTGGAGAAACAGGACTGGAGCCTCCTCACAGTGGTTACAGGGCACATAGAAGGTATGGGACTGGTTGAGTATTTCCTGGGCGACTGAACTGGCAAGTGTGTTGAGGTGGGATCAATTTACATGATCTGAGAGCATGAGTTTTTGCTGTGGAGTAGATGTGGGCAGAGAATGGGATCTGACATGGAGCAAGTCCTCTTGAGTTGCCAAGAGTCATCAGATTCAAACTATGCTAGAAATGGGCCGTCAGATGTCCAGGAGCATAAAGTGTATGAACATGAGGACATAATTTATTAACCAGTTTCTAGAGATGGCTTAAAACAAGCAAAAATCCTACTTTATATCCTTGCAATACTTATGCATGTGACCTCACAATTCTTTTTACACCATGAGCAGTAAAACTCAATCTGAATTTTGAGACAGTTAAAGTCTCAATTCTATTTCTTGTGAATTCAAAAAAATTCCATATGAAATCTGACAGTTGGATTAATATCTAGAATTTAAATATATATAAAATTTAAATTTTAATCATATATATATATAGACATATGTATACAAACCTTTGGAAAACAGACCTATTTTGGCCAGTTCCCAAAAGTAGTTGAGAGGAAAATTTTAAGATATTCTCAAAGAATCTTAATTCATCTCTTGCTGTGATCCTGTTATTTAATAATACTATATAAATATCATTCTCTAGGTCTGTGTTTAGAGTTATATGCTCATAACCATTGTTTAACTCCTTACACAAAGATTTCTGGTATTAATCAAGGTTGTTTGTTATTTGTTACTCTGGCTTATATGGTTTAACACTACTATTACTATAACATTCCTATATAAGAAAACCAGCTAAGTTATTGTATGTATATTCAATGACCAGTTACATCAATAGAAGTATGAGCTAAGCTGAAGCAGAGCCACCTAAAATGTTTCCATTAAATAGCTGAGACTCAAGGCAGGTTATTAGTAGGTTTTTAAAAAGAAAAATTAGTGGAGGAATAACATTTTAACTCATACTTTTACTATAAATTCAGAAAAAATGTAGATTGGAAGCCATGCAAAACTATTTTGTTGCAGACTTCTTTCCTTCAAGTGTATGAAAGTATCAAGCACCTCAGAAGCAAAAAGTGAGTCTGCAAGTAATGTCATGTTGGAAAAATGCACTTATAAATTAAATACTATAGTATTGAACTCTAGTCACTTTATATAAAACTGGCACTCTTCTTCTAAACTCACCAAGACTTCCAGGAAAAAAAAACCAAAAAACGGAATGATTACATTCTTCCTCTACTTTCCAAAGGCTGAAATTATGAATTCAGACAATGTTGGTGCATGTGCGTGCTCACCACAGGTCTGTGTACATCCCAGAACGCTCTCTCTTGACTATCGAGGATCTTCCTTTCAATCTTGTCTCTCTTCTTGTCCACTCTGTTAACATCACAACAATGAACAGTAAGCAGTGTTAATCACAGTGCCTCTGTGGACAAAAGGCCACGACTTGAACAAATCTTCCAAAGACTCACAAGGACTCACTTTGCTTGTGCTTCTGCTTGCATAAAAATGAACTCCCACTTCCGGGCAAATGCTCTCTGTAGCCTGGCCAAGCTCTCCTGTAAAATATACCACGGAGAAGACATTCTGGAGCTCAGCCTTACTATGCCCCCTTCTAGTTTATCTACTATATGTGAAAAGTGAACGTGGAAATCGCTCAGTCATGTCCAACTCTGCGACTCCATGGACTACACAGTCCATGGAATTCTCCAGACCAGAATATCGGTGTGGGCAGCCTTTCCCTTCTCCAGGAACTCTTCCCAATCCAGGGATCGAACCCAGGTCTTCCGTATCGCAGGCGGATTCTTTACCAGCAGAGCCACAGGGAAGACCAAAAGCTATCTGTTTCTGTCCAGTTGTACCATATGTACTCACCAAGAAAACAAGTCAAAATTTCTTGGAGTAAGTGTACTTGGAATGATAAGTCATGCTCACTAAATGCAGCTAATCCTCAAATTAACAGTCATAGAGGACATAGGAAAGCCTATTACAAACATCAATATTAGCGAATATAACTAAAAACCCAAAATACTAAACTTACATTAAAAAGTGCTCAAGAGTAATCCATTGGATTTTTCTCTGCCCATTTTACTGAACAAGAAATCAGTACATTCCTACTACTGATTCGGTAAGTTTATCTGGTTTTTGAGAAAAATGTAAACCTTTGGCCCCCTACTACCCATTTACAGATAGTGCTTTAAGTTTAGTAAATCAGAAGATAGCAATCACCTGAATAGATTACATGAGGTCAATTTAATCTGCTGATGGTGACCAACCTAAAGACTTTGCAAAAACCATTTTCCCAGTGTAAACACTTTTTAATTCTCTAAGTTTGGATATCTTCGTTATATATAGCATATGTATGTACACATATACATATATATATATATAACATATGTATATGTATACACATAAAGGTTTTGGGCTTCCTGGTGGCTCAGTGGCAAAGAATCTGCCTGCCAACGCAGGAGATGCGGGTTCGATCTCTGGGTCAGGAAAGTCCCCTGAAGAAGGAAATGGAAACCCACTCCAGTACCCTTGCCTGGCATAAATCCCATGGACAGAGGAGCCTGGAGGGCTACATTCATGGAGTCACAAAGAGACACGACTTAGTGACTAAAAACTAATGACAACATACATAAAACTTTTACATTAAAGTCAATTTTAGCAAATAATATATACTTCCTACTTACTCTCCGAATTTGTGTATTTAGAATTTCATCATCATCACTGTGAATGATGAGAAGGAGTAAGCAAGTAAGGGATATAGTAATTATGCTGTCCCTCCCTGGAAATCTGATCTCTAAGATTCATGAATGTAGAAAGTTCAGAGTGCCCAGAAATGACCACAGGCCTTATTCTTGCTCATCTTACACCCTTCTTTGCCAGGATGTCCTTGGTACTTACAGCTTCATAGTCGGCCAGCTCCAGCCTTGCTTTGTTTTGCATTGTTCTTTTGCAGAGGTAAACCGCTGAAAGGGGGAAAAAACACAATCATTTCTTGCCTGCTTATTTACACTGAGGCACTAAAAATAAAAAATAGAGCATTATAGACCAAAGCATATTGGTCTTTGTCATTTTTCCGCAAGTTGTAAATTTCTGATTTTATCATTTTTTTTGGACAAAACAAATAATCTGTAACATCATTACTGAAATTCAGTGGAGAGAAACTGTTAGTTGCTCAGTAGTGTCCAACTCTGTGTGATCCCAAGGACTGTAATCTACTAGGCTCCTCTGTCCATGGAATTCTACAGACAAGAATACTAGAGTGGGTTGCTATTCCCTTCTCCAGGGGAATCTTCCCAACCCAGGAATTGAACCAGGTCTCCTGAATTACGGGCAGATTCTTTCCTATCTGAGCCACTCAAACACAGTGGCAATTTTAAAAGGTGCTATAAGAAAATAGACATGTTTAGAACCTTGGTAACCATTTCATATATCATTAAAAGTTCTCTCAGGGTACTGTCCTAGCCTTTAGACAGGATTTAACCTCCAAAGAGCACTCAGCAAGTGCTCAGTCATGTTCCAGTGATTCCATTCTATGAAATTCCTCTTGACACATTTTAACTCCAAGGCATTTCATCTGGTGGTTTGAACTGAACAGTCAGCTGGGCAGAAGAATTCTAGGTCCTTTCTTTAAACTAAGCAGAGATGCTGTTCTTTCCCAGCTGGTAAACTATATCTAAAAGAGAAAGGTTTATGATGGCTTTGCAATTCTGGCCCTTTGCCTCCCATGCCAGGAAATCAGCCTGAGGAATATTACTGGAGCTTGACAAATAGCATGGTGATTGGGGAGTACAGTGTGTTATCACTTACTTTTATGATAACAGCTGCCCAAAGTGTCACAGAGAATCTAAGGAGCAACAGCAGGAGACTGAGCAGCCTTGGAATAATATTTCTAGGCTTGAAGAGAAACTTCTTTAACAAGAACCTGACACCTTAGACTTAGCATGAAAGCATAGCTCAGGTCAGTCACAGAAAACTTATCTTGCCAGAATTTGTTCTATAACAATGATAGAAATGCAAAGGCACAGCACATTTGTTTTTATTTTGTTGTTATTGTTCAGTGCTAAGTCATGTCCAACTCCTTGCAATCCCGAAGACTGTAGCCCATCAGGCTCCTCTGTTCGTGGGATTTCCCAGAGAACATTGGAGTGGGTTGCCATTTCTATCTCTGGGGGATCTTTCTGACCCAGGGATGAAACCTGTGTCTCCTTCATCGCAGGTGGATTCTTTACCACTTAGCCACCAAGGAAGCCCCGCAATTGGTGTGTGTTGTGTTTCAGTCACTAAGTCGAGTCCAACTCTTGCGACCCCACGGACTGTAGCCTGCCAGGCTCTTCTGTCCATGGGATTCACCAGGCAAGAATATTGGAGTGGGTTTCCATTTCCTTCTCCAGGGGATCTTCCTGACCCAGGAATTGAACCCAGGTCTCCTGCATTGCAGGCAGATTCTTTACCAACTGAGCTACAAAGGAAGCCCCACATTTGGTATTATGTCTTTAATAGCTGAGAAAAGTAGCAGGTATTCAATATATTATTGAAAGTCTTTACTGAATGCTCTGCTAAGTTAGATATCAGCAATCTTCTATTTATCTCACTTTTTCGTGTGTTGAAAACTTGCCCCATAACTTGTGACCTTGACTGGACAAATACTGTCACTCTCTGGAACTCAGCTGCCTCATCTTTAGCTGAAATGGTCAAATTGGATGACCTCTCAGGTTCCCTCCAGCTCTGAAATTCCATTACTGGATAAAGTCATGATTTCACACTGACATGGACATTCTGAGTCAAGGAAGAGTTGAAGGGCATGCAATTGGTATGTGAAAAGAAAATTTGGATCCTTGCCAGGTGTTCAAGTTTACTCTCTGACTTCACCCTTCTTCAGGGTTCCCACAAAAGCTTTTGTCTAGTGTGATTTAAAACAATCTAAATCTCCTTCAAATGGTACGACAGAGGATGAGATGGTTGGATGGCATCACTGAATCAATGGACATGAGTTTGAGCAAGCTCCAGAAGATGGTGAAGGACAGGGAAGCCTAGCGTGCTGCAATCCATGGGGTTGCAAAGAGTCGGATACGACTAAGCGACTGAACAACAACAAAATCTCCTTTCTGTTAAGAGAATGTAGAAACAAAATACTAAAGTCCCCACAGCCTCTCCTTGCTCAAGGAAAATGTGAAATCAGACATCCAAATTTCTTGTTAAGCAGGTTTTAATTAAAAGAAAAATTTTTTTGGCAAATCACTTGGACTTAGAAGTATTCTTATTTCAGCTCTATGCCACAAAAAATTTCTATTATCTATCCAGAAAGCCATAGGACATAGAATATTTAGCACCTAGGGTATGAAGTTTCTGTCTCTTAACTTCCCAGGCTGAGAAAATTTCAAAGCCCCAAAACTGGCTGAACAACAGTCTGCACCTTACCAGCCACTCTATATTAAAACAATGAAAAATAATGCCTCTGTTGTTGATTTGTGTATTCACTAAGATTTTTTTTCAGCTTTAATTACTAGACTTGAGAAAATCAAGTCTTCATGAAATAGTATTGCTAATTCATAGATGAACTGCAGCATACCATCTCCTGGAGCTTGCTCAAACTCATGTCCATTGAGTCAGTGATGCCATGATTTTACTTTTTTGAATGTTGAGTTTTAAGCCAGCTTTTTCATTCCCCTCCTTCACCTTCATCAAGAGGCTCTTTGGTTCCTCTTCAATGAAATAAATGTGCTTCCTGTGTTATTAAGCCTAAGCAAAATGGGAAATTTGGTTGTACACTGACATTGTCAAAGCCCTTTTTATTGTTGTTGTTTAGTTGCTACATTGTGTCCAAACCTTTTACAACCCGAGGGACTGTAGCCCGCCAGGTTCCTCTATCGAGGGATTCTCCAGGCAAGAATACTGGAGTGGGTTGCCACTTTTTCCACTAGGGGATCTTCTCCGCCAGGGATCAAACTTGCCTCTCTTATGTCTCTTGCACTGGCAGGTAGTTTCTTTACCACTGAGCTACCTGGGAAGTCCCAGAGCCTTTCTATATAGGCTAAAGGTCCTCAAAACATCCTGGAGGAAATAGAGCATTGGCTGAATATTTTGGGGCACAAACCATCATTATGCAAGATAATGCAAATTCTGGACACTTTTCATTGTTAAATTGTTAAAAGTTCCTTATGTTGAGAACATGTCTGCCTTTCTGCAGTTGGCATACATTGGTATCAGTTGCCCGTAGGATGAGATGAGTGAGGCATTTGCCTACAGGGCAAGTCTGCTGCTGCTGCTGCCAAATCACTTCAGTCGTGTCCGACTCTGTGCGACCCCATAGACGGCAGCCCACCAGGCTCCCCCGTCCCTGGGATTCTCCAGGCAAGAATACTGGAGTGGATTGCCATTTCCTTCTCCAATGCATGAAAGTGAAAAATGAAAGTGAAGTCACTCAGTCGTGTCTGACTCTTAGCAACCCCATGGACTGCAGCCTACCAGGCTCCTCCATCCATGGGATTTTCCAGGCAAGAGTACTGGAGTGGGGTGCCATTGCCTGCTCTGCAGGGTAAGTCTAGAGACTTACCACTAATCAAGGAAAAAAAAATAATACTTTAATGTAACATATGCAAAAACAAAACTTCCAAAATTCTACAATGAACAAAATATAAAAGTATTCAATAAGGACATGCTCCAACAGGGCCAGGATTTGGGTGAAGTGAATGAGGTGAGTCATAAAAGTATAGCATCAGCTCCTGTCTTTACGGGAAATTTCAATTTCTTGAGGTCCATATCCTATTTGAACACTGGAGATTGCACCCTTAAAAGGAGCCAGATGAAAGATGTTGGTTGATGTGTGTTCATCTGCAGGAACTTTAATGTGCATTGTTTGCTTATAATATCAGTGAACTTCCCATCTCTTGCTTCTGTTTGAGTTTTCTACCACCACTACGGTCTCTGCTTCTTACCACAGTTCTCTTAAAAACTTCCTTGTGTCTCGGCCTCCAGCTTTCATTGCAATCCCTTTATACTAGATGATTCTTAATGTAAATACATGGGAAATTCATTCCCGACTCCATTTTAATTGGATTGGATTATTTTTTTTTGTACTTGGGTGAAAAAAATCAGAAGTCTCACACAACTTAATTTTCAAAGAATGGTGTTTTTTCCATAGACCTTTAGTTCATATTGGCTTGTCTTAGTAACTAAACACAATCAACATATTCTACAAAACCAAGGTAACCATGGAAAAGTGTTTCTCCATATAAACTGGCCTGTAGAAGTTTATGTTCTGCAGAGGCTTTCCAGTAAGTTTAAATTGGTGATGAAAACAGACATTAGATATTGACAGAATATAAGAAGCCATTCTTTAAATCTTCTTTAATCAATAAGTTACTGTCCCAAGCTGTCTCAGAAAAAACAGCTAAGTAATCCTATTATTTCTGTTGGGCCTTCCAACCCAACTACAGCATCAACATCCTCTTTATAAGAAAGTGTTCATGTTTTATAAATGTTCTTTAAACAATCAGTGGTGGGAAATTCAAAGTTGGATAATTTGAATTGTTTCTATACTCGTTCATAAAAAGAAAAATCACAGAAAGCAAAGCATCATTATCTATAGGAGTGGTATAGTGTCTGAGATCATTATCATTTCACTTTCTCTTTGTCTATAACCTTTTATTGAATATTTTATTGCTCATTTGTATAATAATACACTTGCATATTAATCTTCACTTGTATAATAATCCAAGCAAATGAGACATAAACAGGTATATGTTTATTCAGAGAGAAAAAACAAACAGAATAATAAAGACTATGCCTACATTTAGTTAAAAATTAAATGCTCTCCAAGTTTGAGAGAAAGTTTAGATGATGACTCTCATTAAATAGAATCTGACAAGAGCTAATGTTAAACTGAATGACATTAATAATTTTGAGATGACTGACTTTGAGAGATGTTCCATAAATTATTTTCTGTGTAAGCCATGCCATTTCCTCATGTTTAGCACTAAAACATTAATCTATTGTGAAGTGTTGAAATATGAACTGCAATTGTAAACACAAAAATATTTATGAAAAACACAAAAGATGTATTGACAGAACATTAAGAGTTAGAATTTGCTTTTATGTAAGAAACAGGGAAAGTGTATCTGTCAGTAAATAATGATGACAAGCGAAAACAATTTTGATCTATTAAGTATGAGAGGAACAATACCAGTTTTCTTAGGCATATTAATTTTGGTTCATTCAACAATTCTAGAGAGTCAGTATTATTATTTTTTTTTCTTGAAAAGCAAGCAGACAGGCTCAGAGATGTAACAAGCCTTGTCCAAAGTCACACAGTTGGTATGTCACTGTGACATACCAACTGAGTTCAGGTCTGTCTGCCTCCATCACCTGGGTTTTTCTCCATGAGCTTCTTCTTGGATGTCCAGGTGTTTTCTTCACTAGTATGCCATACTCTTTGGTGAAATAATTCCCAGGCACCATCCCAGGTTAGAACTGGATGTGGAACAACAGACTGGTTCCAAATAGGGAAAGGAGTACGTCAAGGAGGTACATTGTCACCCTGTTTATTTAACTTATATGCAGAGTACATCATGAGAAATGCTGGGCTGTATGAAGCACAAGCTGGAATCAAGATTGCTGGGAGAAATATCAATAACCTCAGACATGCAGATGACACAACCCTTATGGCAGAAAGCAAAAAACTTTCACTCTTGATGAAAGTCAAAGAGGAGAGTGAAAAAGTTAGCATAAAACTCAACATTCCGAAAACTAAAATCATGGCATCTGGTCCTATTACTTCATGGCAAATAGATGGGGAAATTGGAAACAGTGACAGACTTTATTTTGGGGGGCTCCAAAATCACTGCAGATGGTTATTGTAGCCATGAAATTAAAAGATGCTTGCTCCTTGGAAGAAAAGTTATGACCAACCTAGACAGCATATTAAAAAGCAGAGATATTACTTTACCAACAAAAGTTCATCTAGTCAAAACTATGGTTTTTCCAGTAGTCATGTATGGATGTGAGAGTTGGACTATAAAGAAATCTGAGTGCTGAAGATTTGATGCTTTTGAACTGTGGTGTTGGAGAAGACTCTTGAGAGTCCCTTGGGCTGCAAGGAAATCCAACCAGTCCATCCTAAAGGAAATCAGTCCTGAATATTCATTGGAAGGACTGATGCTGAAGCTGAAACTCCAATACTTTGGCCACCTGATGCTGGGAAAGATTGAAGGAAGGAGGAGGGGATGACAGAGGTTGAGATGGTTGGATGGCATCACCGACTCAATGGACATGAGTTTGACTAAACTCCAGGAGTTCATGATGAACAGGGAGGCCTGGAGTGCTGCAGTCGTAAAGAGTCAGACACGACTGAGCAACTGAACTGAACAATCCCAGGATGGACAAAACACCCCACAAAGTTCTCTAACTCAGATATAACAATCAGAAAGTTTTGTTTTGTTTTGTTTTTTAGTAACTTCTTTCTTCAAGTGTCTCAATTTTGAAGAATGTGTACCCTGAAAGTGTTAGTCACTCAGTTGTGTCCCAGTCTTTGCAATCCCATGGACTATAGCCTGCCAGGCTTCTCCATCCATGGGGTTTTCCAGGCAAGAACACTGGAGTGTGTTGCCATTTCCTTCTCGGATCTTCCAGACCCAAGAATTGAACCTGGGTCTCCTACATTGAGAGCAGACTCTTTACCGTTGAGCCACTAGGGAAGTATACCCTATTGTGTACCCTGGATGGAAAAAAGCAACATTCTCACCACTAGAAAAGCATCTACTCTATTGTTAAGTACTCTGGTTTTTAGACTGTTTTCCGTAAGTTATGTTAGTTTGAATTTTTGGTTGGCCCATGACCATGTGGATGAACTATGAAAGCTAAGTTTGACAAAAAGGAGGGATGACTTCAATGGTTTTTTACGGACTTTCCTATGGTTTTCTTACCAAATGTCTTTCCAGGAGGCAAAGAAAGCCAGATTGCTGTTAAGTTTCTGTCCTTGAATATGCTGGCCCTTTCTCTGCCTCAAATGCCTTCTCTGCCTTTTTTTCTGAAAAAAGTTCCCCTCTTTTAAAACCCACCTCAAATGCTCTCAGTTCTTTTGTGAGATCACTCTGGAAACCCTCAAAGTAATTCTCTTATTCTTACAAACTTCCATCTATTTTACATATACCACTATTAACATTCACTAGGCACTTCACAGCAACTTCTTTTGTGTAATTCTCTTTTCTCATCTAGCCTATGAGTTACTCAATAGTGTAGATAAAATCAGAGTCTCCTTCTTATCCCAGCACCTACTATGGCTCTTGGCATTGGAACAAATCCTCAATAAATATTTGTAAAAATGATATTTAAAAACCATACAGTATTATGTTTGAAAACTGTAGCCTTCAGGAAAATGTAAGAAGCAGCACTTATTAGGAGCCTGTTTCCTTGAAGAGTTTAATTAAAATCATGGCTGTTGAACTGAGTTCATTTGAAGTAGACTGAAGTTGATTCACTATGATTGAATTTCCTACTGTATCTTTTCTCTTGTTTGCATTTGGCCTTTCATGTTTAACAAAACCTTCTGCTAATAGAATCACAAGATCCCTCAAATAACAGTGAGAAAAGTACAGTCTGGAAGGCAAGGGACTTACTATAAATCATAGCTAAATAGAAGAGGTGAACAAAAATGCTGGCTCTCTGAGTCCCTTTGTTACTCTTTCCATTAGACCAACACGGTGCAGAAAAATAATGATAATAATAGTCTTTTTAGGTTTATTTATAGCTCTTTAATCTATTCAGAGGAAAAGTATTTTTTTAATAGTCACAGGAGATACTATAATATGGAATGAGGTGCCACCAGATTTGGTGACTTTCCAAACAAGGTCATTTATAAATTCAATGTTAGAAATATTACTCCCATATTGAAATTTTTAGTATTCTTTTCTCAGTGACAAATAATAAAATGCAAGCATGTCTTCATCCATACATAATGGTATTGTCAACAATAAAATGAGGAGATATTGCACTGACCATAGTCTGTGTTTTCCGGCTCCCAACAATTTGATGGCCAAAAATAGGGTGTCTGTGGAATGAAAAGAAGTGGAACTTAGGTTAAACACATAAAGAATTAGTGGGGCTCCTGGTTTATGAGGTGTGTTTATCTCCAGCAATCATCTAGAACAGTTTGCTAACAGTATGTTTTATTATCTAGAAGAAAATACTCAGAGAGGTACTGTAAGGTTTTCCTTTTAAATTTACTTTGCTAATCTATTGTTCAGCCTCTAAACAAGTACAGCATGTAAATAAAACAGTGTTTGCTACAATTGTATGTCATCTGACATAAAGGTAAAAGGACTGATTTCATTGTTTATATAGAAGTGTTAATCCACAAAGACTGAAAGCAAAGTATTATAGTCACTAAGATTCATGATGAGATAAGTTTATACTTAGCAAATTATTTTTGTTGATTCATGTATTTCATCATCGCCCTCCATAGATCCAAAAGCCCAACCATCAGAATCTTTCCTTAAGACGGACAACCATTTGCCTGGCTCTATTAATTATATAATGCAGTTCTCAACATTATCCAGCTAGATTAAAACAACTTTTCACCTTCACTTTAAAAAATATTTCTTCATAGAAACACTTAGTGCTCTAAAGTTTTAAACTGCACAAGTCAGAGATCATTTTTTAAACTAATATCTTAGTTGACTGCTTAAGAATAGACATACATGATTCTGTGAAATTCTAGAAACTGACTGATGAAACTATAAAGATGTCTGATCAGGAAAACCAGTTATTACCATCAGCAGGTTATATTTTCTGATAGGGCTTTTCTAGCCCTGATGGCTGGACATGCTTGACTCCAGACCCTGAGCAAACTCCATGACTATCGTCTGCTCTTTCAAATTGTTCCTTGGATTATGATGGCCCTGGGATTCAATGAAACAGTCTCTGCAGACATCAGACTTGTGGATTTGATTATATTTATTTGTTAATTACATTAACAATCAGATTAACAATCTGTGTGTAGTAAGCATATTTGGTGTGATCTCTGACTGCGTGCATGCACGCTCAGTTGCTCAGTCATGTCCAATTCTTTGCGACCCTATGGACTGTAGCCAGCCAGGCTCCTCTGTCCATAGAACTTTCCAGGCAAGAATACTGGAGTGGGTTGCCATTTCCTTCTTCAGATGATCTCTTCAACCCTGGGATCGAACCCATGTCTCCTACATCTCTTGCATTAGCAAGCGGATTCTTTGCCACCGCACCACCTGGGAAGCCCAATCTTTGATTACCGGTTTGATAATTCTCCTTCCTAGAAGAGGGATTCTCAAGGAGGGGAAAACGGTAATTGGGAGAACTTTTTGAATCTCTGAGAGAGCATCCTTCCAAACTGTTCAGGACTCCCAGGGAATTTGATTCACCCTCTGTACTTTCTTTTGAACTCATTTGAAAATAATTTGCAATTTTTGACTCATTTAACTCATTTGAAAAGACCCTGAAACTGGGAAAGATTGAGGGCAGGAGGAGAAGGGGACGACAGAGGATGAGATGGTTGGATGGCACCACTGACTCGATGGACATGGGTTTGGGTGGACTCCAGGAGTTGGTGATGGACAGGGAGGCCTGGCGTGCTGTGGTTTATGGAGTGGCAGAGTCGGACATGACTGAGCGACTGAACTGAACTAAACTGAACTATACTTTCTTGGAAATTATTCCAGTATCATAAAGAAGGCTACTAATACTAATTCTGTATATAGGTGAACACAGTGACAAGTTTAAAGGGTAAAAAGGTTGAAGCACTAGATAAAGGAGGATATCAAGGCTTTATACAGCACCCCCTCATTGGCAAATAAATTCACTTAATCCAATTTGAGGGTAAAATTGGGTCACTATTCCATGGGAAGCATAGAGAAACAAAATAGAAAAAATCTTCTTTTTATGTGGGCTGCTAGTTTTTGAGATACTTCTCAGAGAATGCATTATTCCCTTTGGGTTGCTTCTTTAGTTTGGGGGACGTGTGTGTGTGTGTGTGTGCGTGTGCATATTTATTTAATTTAAAAAATATACACTCTAGTCAGACTGGTCAGACACATACTTTTTTTTCTCAAAACTGCAAGCAATGTTTTCACCAGTATTCTTACAATTTTTATTTATTTTTCTATCATTTATTTAGTGAAAACTCCCTGACCATAAAAGTAAATAAATGAAACTATCCTGTGATATTATGTGGAAAGATGTTTCCAAGTCTTTCAAGGATATCAAACCAGTCAATACCAAAGGAAATCAACCCTGAATATTCATTAGAAGGACTGATGCTGAAGCTGAAGGTCCAATACTGTGGCCACCTGATGCAAAGAACTGATTCATTAGAAAAGACCCTGATGCTGAGAAAGACTGAAGGCAGGAGGAGAAGGGAGAGCCAGAGGATGAGATGGTTGGGTATGTGGCATCACTGACTCAACGGACATGAATTTGAGCAGGTTCCAGGAGATGGTGAAAGACAAGGAAGACTGGTGTGCTGCAGTCCATTGGGTCACAAAGAGTCAGACGTGACCGAGCAACTGAACAACATTAAGTGGAAAAGGTATAAAACTAACACTCTTTACTAGTATTGCAATATTTTTTCTAGGAAACATATTTTGACTTAAAATAAAAGACAATTTCTTCCCCAGATGGCTCTAGTGGTAAAGAGCCTGCCTGCCAATATAGGAGATGTAAGAGACATGGGTTTGATCCCTGGGTCAGGAAGATCCCCTGGAGGAGGAGATGGCAAGTCACTCCAGTATTCTTGCCTGGAGAATCCCATGGACAGAGGAGCTTAGTGGGTTATAGTTCATGGTCACAAAGAGTCAGACATGACTGCAGTGACTTGCACAGCACACAGCACAAGAGACAATTTAAAGAAAAACAAACCTTATACTTTGCTGGAATTTAAAAATTTACTTTCACAGTTCAGCTAGACTTTAGGACACTTTAGTGTATGAGTTTGTTTGTTTTTCCGAGTTGGGTTCTTTAGCTGTGATTAAACAGATCCAAAACTGTCTAGCCATCACTCAGTAATCTTTGGCTCATATACTAATGTGGTGAAAGTCATGAAAGTGACCTGGATAACCATGTCAGATCTCAATTTCAATTAGCTAAGGAGAATAATTAGACAATTACAAGTTTACAGTACATACAAAAATCACATGATTGAAAATTTGAGACAAATTTACATACTATAGCATACCAGTGCAACTATTTGTTCCAAACTTATGCCCCAAAGCTTCTTCAGATTTCTAATGATGGCCAGAATCTCAACCATTTCCTGGAGCGATTATAAACACAACATTGCAAGCTTCCTAGTTTAATTCATGAATTTTAAAATCCTTCCATGGAGTTGAATTTCAATTTAATGTAATAAAGAACTTAATGCTGTCTGGAACCAATGCAAAAATGGAAGCATATACCTTGAACAATAATGTGTTTTCTATTTCTAGAGCTGTTCAAGTATAGACTAATAAATGCCTTGGTAGACACTGTAGCAGGAATTAAATTATCTCTGACTTTGGTGGGGTTTCTTTTGTTTGCTTTTAAAACATTGGTTTTAAGATTGTATGGTTATTTGATTTACAAATATGTTATATTTATATCATATTTTGAATGTGTGTATATGTCATTAAAGTATTTAACATTAATTCATATAATTTAAAAGATTATCTATCGTCTATTGGAAGGACTGATGTTAAAGCTGAAACTCCAATACTTTGGCCACCTGATGCGAAGAGCTGACTCACTTGAAAAGACCCTGATGCTGGGAAAGATTGAAGGCAGGAAGAGAAGGGGGCAACAGAGGATGAGATGGTTGGATGGCATCACCGACTCGATGGATATGAGCTTGAGTAAGCTCTGGAACTTGGTGATGGACAGGGAGGCCTGGCGTGCTGCAGTCCATGGGGTCGCAAAGAGTCAGACATGACTGAACAACTGAACTGAACTGATCATCTATTTACGTATATCAAACTGGGCAATCTTCTGCCTGTACCTAGAAGGAATGTAATAAGTTTATCATTTGCACCCATTCTTTTGCTCTGTTGTAAAGCTCTTTAAAAACTGTCTCTCCTTTTCTCCAGAATGTGGTATGGTCCATTCTCAGCTTTGCTCATCTCTGCCCATGAACATGACATTAAAGCTTTTTCTGCTTACTAACTTTAGTCTGAGAATGACAAGAGCAGAACTCTGCTCTTGATGACAAATTATATTAACAGCTCAGTTGGTAAAGAATCCGCCTGCAATGCAGGAGACCCCGGTTCAATTCCTGGGTCGGGAAGATCCCCTGGAGAAGGGAAAGGCTACCCATTCCAGTATTCTGGCCTGGAGAATTCCATGGACTGTATAGTCTATGGGGTCACAAAGAGTCAGACACGACTGAGCGACTTTCATTTTCACTTTCACTTTCAAGACATCACTACTAATTTTCAGCCATACCTCAGCTAGTTTGTTTTGAGGGAAATTTTTGAATTTGATAATTGTCAAGAGACAGATATAATTATATTCAGGGCTTCCCAGGTGGTGCTAGTGATAAAGAACCAAGTTGCCAATGCAGGAGACATAAGAGACTGGAGTTCAATTCCTGGGTTGGGAAGAATCCTTGGAGGAGGGCATGGCAACCCACTCCAGTATTCTTGCCTGGAGAATCTCATGGACAGAGGAACCTGGTGGGTTACAGTCCATAGGAGAGCAAAGAGTCAGACATGACTGAAGTGACCTACCATGCACACATACAGATTATATTCAGGGCCTCCCTTACAGATATATTAATCTTATACATAGATGATTTTACCTGTAAATTGCCAGTGAAGATGGATAAAAGTTGGTATTTTATCAAAAATATCTTTCATTTAGAATTTGTAAAAAAAAAAATTTTAGGCCTAATGTTTACTTTATAGTCTGAATATGAAAAATTCATATAAAAAATAAGATTTTATGGAATATATAACCCTGAAATACCAAAGTAACTCCTTTAAAAAATCAAAAAGTATTAGTAGCACATACAAAATTTCTTTTCTAATAATTTTTATTCATTAAAATGCTAACCTTAGGACCACAAGTTATTCTAACCTAATAATAAGCTATTTTAAGCTAGTATTACTTTAAATTTAACTGTTCTAAGGATAAAGCGTCATTATTTTAAAGACTTCTATAATTAAGTGATCCAACTAATTTTAATTGCTTGAATACTTAGGTCAGTATCACAATTTCAGGAGACTGCATTATTTCCTAGCTATTCAGTGTAAATTCAATGATTATTTCCTTAGATAGAAGTGTTCTGTAGCAGTGAGAATATTCTAGGAAGACAAGGACCTTTGAGAACAACTTTTTTCAAAACATATTCCGTCTGTTCTCAGTTTCCCCAAGCAAGTCCTTAGGCACTCAAGTCACTTATTTAATCAATAACTCAGAGCTAGTGAGAAGAATGTGCCAAAGTCTAAAAGTGGGACAATGGGAAGAATCCTCTGAAAGTACCTAGAGCTACAATTTAAACTCTGGCATTATATGTGCCTTAATTTTACAGACTGGAATCCACTAGTCAGTTACTAATGAAGCATAATGTTTAATGAAATATATAATACACTTCAGGTAAATCATCATAACTCATGTCAACTGTAGCCCAATGACCAAAATTGGAGGCCACACTCATTTCCTGAAAATTTATTCTTTATAGGTATCTCATTTGAAAATGACCTGGAATAACTCTTGTCAGTTCATAAGTTATCTAAGATGGCCTCCTGAGTATACACACGCAAAGCATCATGCATGTCCTTCACAGACTTTTTCAGTCACCAAGTCATTTCCAACTCTTTGTGATCCCATAGACGGCAGCATCTAGGCTTTCCTGTCCTTCATTATCTCCTGGAGTTTGCTCAAACTCTGGTCCATTGAGTTAGTGATGTCATCCAACCATCTCATTCTCCATTGCCCCTTTCTCCACAGACTCATAGAAGGTCTCAGACACGCAGAGGATATGTATTTATTAGTTAATTCTATCCTGGAGCTTCAAGCGTTCCCATGACCATTTGCTTGGACTGTAGACAGCTCTGGATGACACAGGGTCCAGAGTATAACAAATTTAGTTACCATCTCTCAACTTCCTTCCTAGCAAATAAATATAATTTACAGATGACTCTCTCATCTTCCTGAATTCCACTGTCACTCTGAATTTTTCTCACACTTTTTATATAAAATATAACTTCAATCATCACACAACTTAGCTTTCACAAATCATTAATTAATTAGATTCTAACTAACTCAAGTCAAAGTAAAATAAGTCAAGTCTCAAAATTTCTGCAAAAAACAATGAAAATGCAGACATATTTTTACTTTTAAATAATTCTTTTAATACACTTACTTGGAACCGGTAAAAGGTGCCATCATCCTTGAGTGTGAGGACATGATCCGAGATTGGGAAGAAGTAGCCGTGGGCAGCCATTAGTGTTCCCAAATGGAGTGCCTCCACTAGTTCATGAAGACAAATGGAAAAAACACATATATAACTCTTTAAAACTGTTCATTTATAGGCACGTAGGATTTTACCTTGTTTCTTTTGAGCGCATTCCTACATTGGTATACTCAGCATCCCAGAAAAGCCTGTCTTTGTACTTCTTTCAGCTCTTTCACATAAGGTACCAAGATGGTTCTGCGTCCTGATAGTGACCACAATGAGCAACAGTGCATGTGACCACACCATGAGAACATAAAAGCTATGGAATGTTGAAACTGAAGGTCTTTCTGTAATCAAAGAATCTGCTTCCTTCATTTTATAGATGGGACATGTTCTGCTATGTGTTAATAATCTTCCACAATATATTTGGTATTTACATAGCACTTTAAACTTCTAAAAGTTCTCATTTGCATCATTCCCTGCCCTGTAATATGAATATCCAATACTATTAGCAATTTTTCTAATGACATGGATCATTACTAGATAATGTTAACAGGCAATGTAAGGCATCTAGAGCAATTTATACTGCACTAAGTGAGCCTGCAGTCTGTGGTTGGCTAGATTACTCTATATACCATATTCTAGACATGGACTATGTAGAGGTTTATGTAACAGTGAAAACATATTTTCCCAGTAGTCTGAGAAATAGTTGGAACATAATACTATAATGCTCACACTCCTTCTATAGCAGTCAATGGTTTCTCCCAACCAAAGGGATAATAAACTTTGATCACTAGGATTATTACTGTATTTGTGCAGGAACAACATAAAGTTTTCTAACTTGAAGCTTAGAAACTATGGAACTATTCAAGATAGCTTTTTAGTCCAACATAAGCATATATGTATATAGAAAATAAAAAAGTTAGATTTATTGATTTGTTTGTGTATCTTTATGTGCAACTTTCTGGTGGCTCAGATGGTCAAGAATCTGCCCGCAATGCAGAAGACCTGGATTCAATCCCTGAGTCAGGAAGCTCCCCTGGAGAAGGCAACAGCTATCCACTCCAGTATTCTTGCCTGGCAGGCTACAGTCCATGGGGTTGCAAAGAGTTGGACACGACTGAGCAACTGACACTTTTTTACACTTTAATGTGCAATTTATAGATTTAGTTCTATTTTTAGATAAACAGCTAAATGATTCTTTAACTCTAGGATTCTAACAGAATTTCCAGGACTACATGTATCTCTATCTCCGTCTGTCAATCACATGTAATTTTCACACTTCAGCTAGTACTGAGTCCCTAAACTGCTTGCTATGGCCCACCTACCTAAGCATAACAATCTCTTCTTATCCCTTTCCCATGTCTATACTGGCTAATATTGAAATAATTGTTAAATTTATTTAACCTGTAGTTGGGTACTATAGTATCCCTTTTAATATTATCTAGCATCTTGCAAAATTTTAAGTGGTAACTTCTACCTCCGGCCTCCACTCTACCATTTGTGTCAGTGAGAAAGAACAACTGCTGACCATCCTCTTTACCATGGATCTGGAAGTCTGTTATTAAATGACCCAGTTATCTTGTTTACACACCCAATCAATTACACACTTCCTTCCATAGAGTGTTCTTTTTCTACAAAGGAGGATATTTCATCCTTTATGCATCCTTTTAGTTCAAAATTAAGATCTTCTTGCCTGGAATATTCCACAGACAGAGGAGCCTGGCAGGCTGCAGTCCAAGGGCTTGCAAAGAATTGGACACAACTGAGCACAGAGCACATTGTGCTTCATTATTTACCCACCAAATGATTTTTACTTTTCTCCAAAGTACTTTCAGGAAATCCACTTCCATAATTTCTCTTTAACTAGGCTGAGTGAGAGGATCTGGCATTCCTAAATAGCATCAGCCAGTCACATCTTCTTTTTGTGTGTTATTTATAAAACTAAAATAGCAAGCATATCTGTGAGGCTGGCTTATAATAATAAGCAGGTGCTTACAGCCTGGTCATGTTCAGAATCCCTGGTTGCTCATGTTGGCAGCACTAGAAAGAACAATTTACTATATTTGTTTGAGGATTTCAAAGTCAGGTGGCCTACTATCTTCTAGGTGGGTATTACCTATATTGTCACAACCATCTTTATTCATTTTATTCCAACAGTCTGTGGCCTAGGAAAATATTATTAGTGTTATTTTCCAGAAAGATAAATTGAGTTATGGCACATGAGGAAAATTTCAGAATATAGATACAAAAAGGAAAACTGAGATGTTCAGAAGATTAACAGTAAAGGGCTTCTGAACTCTAAACACAGGAAAGAGTATTACTAAAATGAAATAAAGAAACATCAAAAAAAAAACAAACAGATGCTAACATGCTGATGAGGATTAGAAAAACATAGTGAAAGTAAATATAGGGAAGCTGAACAAAAGAAAATCAGAAGAAAATGAATAAGTTCTTACTGTACTCAATAGTTACTAATTATATGATAAATCAAAAATTTCTAGAGAGCAAGATGAATGTCTGCAGGCTTTCTTCACTATCATAATTAAGCCTGCATAAATGCTTGGTAGAAAGAATAATAGTCAATTAGCAAGCAATCTCAGCCTCCTGCTTTTGAGGTACAAATACTCCATTTTTTTGGGTTTAATCATATATATTCTCATTTTACAACCCTCTAAGAGATTCTCAGGCTAATAATTTTATTAATAAGGAAAATTGTTTTTGATAGCTTTTTAAAATGCCCTGAATTCAACAGATACACATTTGTGGGAGTATCATTAAGATCAAAATTTAGTTTCTACATGGCCCACACTAAGTTCAATGCAGAGGTCAAGTCAAACTATTTAACTTAATATTTAAGAGGACTGAATTTCTAACAAACCTTTTAAAATGATTTCCATTTCACTGGTCAAATAAAAACCTGGAAAGTTTGAGATTACAGAAGTTATAATGCTCTGTCACAGGACCTCCAGAGAACATGACTCCAGGACAAGATGAATGCTAAGATAAAAATCAGGGCATCATGGTGAATTTTGTTTCATTTAAGACTATAACCTTGCATTTAGCATAGCAAAAACAAAAGTAGCTACTGAATTGATGTTTGCTGAATGAGTGAATAAGCAAATTTATGAATAAATGGTATACGGAATATGAAAAACATAGTACTGCACAAAAAAAATGAGCTATTGTGTGCTTGATGATAAGGAGCTTGTTAAGCTCTGCCAAGATAATGTAGATGTTCAAAATATCTTTTCAAAATACTTTTAAAGCTTTTGAAGTGGGGTTGTTGTAGGTATGTTATATGGGAAAAGATAACAGAAATCCCACTAAAAGATCTTAAGAAGATAACAGTGATATAAATGGCAGAAATCCCACTAAAAGATCTTAAGAGTGGGCTTGAGATGGTTTTCTCAAGGTTGAATTACTGGTAGTGACAACATGGAGACATTTTTCCACATGGTCCTAAGTCTCCACAATAGCCTTAATTTAACGAGAATCTGGAGGACTACTGACAGTCTTGGATCTAAGTGTTAAAAGAATTTAGTGGGTAATCTATCAGGATCACCCTCCCAATAATGGCACAGCAGATGGCTCCACAACATTATGCTTCTCAGCAAAATAATTAATCATCCTGTACATGTGTTATCCCCATCACCCACACAGCTAAATAAGGTTCAACAACTAATTTACCGTAAGATTCCAGTTTATTTTTCATTTGGATATTCAAGCATGAGCAAACTCAGGAGTAAAAATACATCTCTAAACAACTGTTACTATGTGAACAGTGTAATGTGGCTTTGTTAAGCCAGATGTACTAATTTCATTACTTTACCTCGAACCTTTAAATAATAGAATTATCAAAATCCTTTAAAAGCAAAAGGAATTCTACATGTTGTAATTTGCTTTGGAACCATAACTACTTCAGAAAGTCAAAAGGATAAAAAGTATACTATAAAAGAGGTTTGTGTTGTTCAGTTCTATATTCCCATATGTAGAAATATATGTATATATTTCTATATTAAATTTTTAATTATAACACATTTTCAGAACTCAGTATATTTTCTTTATCCAGCAGTCCCACTGCTGGCAGTCTCAGTCCCTCCCAGATATACCCTATATTTTGACACTGATACAACAATGCCTCAAGAGTCAAGAAAATAATAATAAAAATTTTCACTAAAAATTACATTTTTATTCCTGTTATGCATTTTTACTTTTATTTAAATGGGTATATAAATCAGCAAATGTGATTCATTTATCAACACAGACATGATGGAGCAAATATGATTAGTGTATGGGACAAAGTATTTTAGAAGGATATCCACTCAAGACAGAAAAAAAAGACAGTGGAAAATACAACATTAAGGCAAGAAAAGGTAAAAAGTAGTCACAGGTAAGTTATTAAACAGCATTAATAAAATAACAAACATTCATCATCATTATGCCTGAGTCATAAAGGAAAGATTTTGTTAAACTTGTTATTCTCTAAGAAGACAGTGAAGTGGTTATAGAAATATTTTAAAATACTATACTCTTTTAGAATAGGCATTTGCAAGGTAAGATGAATCATGTGGAAAAATCACATATGCAGATTTTTTCTCCAACAAGGTCAAATAAAAGTGAAATAATGACAATAGTTAGGGACTTCTGAGGTAAGTCTATCTTCTGAACAGTAAGAGTTAGTGAAAGCAGTAAGTATTTGGGCTTTCCTCCTTTTTAAAAAAAACATCATTTTCACATAGGAAAATGAAGTGCCACTTGCTTTTTAGTACTCACAAACCAGGGTTTCTAAGTGTATAATATGGTATACAGATTAGATTAAAAGATTTTACTTGGGAGAAATAAAAACAAGCTTAATTCATACCAACTTTGAAGATGACACTAGGTAATTAAAACGGGTAAATACTATTTCCAAGCAAAGGAGCACAGTATGGAGTGAAGCAACTAGAATATGCAAGCCAGATGCTCGGGTTCAATCCCTGACGCCCTCATGTGCTGGCTGTAAAACTGGGGCAGAAGATACATTCTCTGGACCTTAGCGTCCTCATTTGTAGAAAGAAGGCAATAATAAAAC